CCCAGGATTGTCTGCTATGTCAAAACAATGGGTCTAACGAAACTGAGGTGGAGTGGCTTTTTTTTTTTTGGGTGTTCGGGAGTGAACTGTGCATCACAAATGATCTGCAACGTAGGTAAGTAAACTACTTTCATTCAAAAAGCAGGTAACACCTGCTTTTTGAATGAGAATAGTTCAACACAGTTCCCTGCCTACCAGTAAACAGGCAGGCAGGGAACTGTTGGCCTTCATTGAAAGTCAGGCAACAAAGGTGCCGTTTCTGATGCGACCGTTGAATAATGGACCGAACAAGTGCTGCCCAGCAGAACCTGAACCCATTCCTACAAGACATGAACATTTGTTGGCTTTGGACAGTCAGGGGGCTCTAAATGGAGCAAATGCTAAAGAGCAACACTATGCCCGCACGACAAGCTTCGAGAGCTCCATTGTAAAACACAAAGTACCTACAAAACAAACTGATATAACAGTTCTTTACTGCAACGTAAGTGGTATTTTTATACTTGTGGTGTTTGTTTTTGGACTAATGTTTTATTCATTTTTGCTCCCTTTTTAAAGCTTCAATACCAAATTTTTTAAGGTGCTCCTGATATAGTAAAACTGCCGATATAGTAAAATTAATGCCCGGTCCTGACAGGTTTACAAGAGAGGGGTTCTACTGTCGAAACCGGTTATAACGAAGTTGGTTATAACGAAGTAGCGGCTACAGCGTAGCGATCACAATTTCCCATTCCCTTTGGCACTTCGTTAACCGAAGCCGGCTATAATGAAATAGTGGATATAGCAAAGTAATTTCTGATCCCCGTTGACTTTGCTATAACCGGTCTCAATAGTACTATAGTACCTCTGTACTGCACCCTAAACACTTGACACTGAGGGAAAACAAACATTGGGGTTATAAGTAAACTTATAGTATTAAAGGGACACTGACAGGGTATTTATGCTCGCCGAGGTTTTTAGTTGTACGTGACATATGAGAGCTCAACTACCCAGAACAGAATTTGCGGCTCGAAATTCGGTTTCTTTCCGCCCGAAAACCGCCGATCAATAACTGGCCGGTTCGACTCTCGCTCACTCTCTTTTCCGCGGTCACGGGCCGTTTTCTAAGGTATCGATGCGACCACCAAATTTAATCAAAGTCGTGGGTCACTGAACGCACACACTCAATATTAAAAATAGAAAAAAATATAAAACCCATTTTTTGTGGCTTCTAAAAAGCTGCAAATACGTTGATTAAAAAAAAAGTTCCACAGACAACCGGAAGCATTCTGTGCGTGCGTCGTTTCGCGTATCGTGGGACTCGCAGGGACGGCGATGGCAGCGGACGACGGGCGTGGGACCTCTATTTCAGAACTGTCGTTCGCGGTACCGGCGAATTTTGTCTGCCTTTAAAAGAGAAATTTGGGACAGGTCAAAAGAATTGGTATTCATCCCGTACGACACGCCCGACCACCAAGCCGATTTGCACGAAGACGTCGCCGAGCCGTCGCTCCCTTCTTGTGGCTGAAGACAACGCTCGCGCAAACGTCAAGCGCGACGTGTCTACTTAGAGTGGAATATGCACGCGTACGATTTCTTTACTAGGTGAGAATGTCGCCAATGCGTGGTGCATCCCGACTTCGACTCGGGAGTGCTTTTGCTAGAGGAAAATCGGCAGCAAACTTTCCAACTTACAGTTCATCGGCTGAATTATTACTAAGGAAAAAGATACCTCACTTTCGATATGCCCCAGTAGCTCAGTGGGAAAGACGTCCCCTTCACACCCGGTAGAGCCGGGTTCAATTCCCCGTGAAACTTTTTTTTTTTTCTAAATATTTTTTGATGTCTACATTTCTTCTTTTTTTTTTTTTTTTTACAATTATTACTGAAGAAACAAAAAAAAAAAAAAAAAGAAACAAATGTTGTGGACGACACGTCGCTGAATTAGATGGTATGGGATATCCTTTTTGACACCTGCGAACTCAATGTAATCACTTTCCACAAAATGCAAGGAGCATATAAATCAGGTAGCGTCCGCTTTCCGAGGTGCCCGTAAATGGTCTACAGGAATTGCAGCCAGCCATTGGTCCCGATCCCGTTGATCTTTCGGAAACTGTCGCACAATGCCACTTCTGTTTCGGACGCGGGACATGTGAGCCAGCTCTTCACGCAACATCTTGGATGTATTCTTTTCGGAGCCGATCAAAATTCACCACGGGCACTCACTACTCATCTCCAATTCCTCAATGTACAAAACAACTCATCTTGGAGTAGAGAACAACGAGCGGAACATAGATAACTGCAAAAGAATCCCACGGCGAGCAGTTCCCATACGCCGCTTGTCGTCTGCTACCGGGAAGGAGAAAAAAAAAAAAAAAAACACACGTCGGGTGTAGCCACGTGACTTCCGCCACTCACTCTCTTCTCTCCACTTCTCCGACCTCCGTCGGGTTTCGGTTTCGGTTTCGAGCAGTTGCGTCTTTTGGCTTTATTAAAAAAATACGCTACTCTGTTGCAAAATATTAATTGGGTAGTCCTCCGACACCATAATGAAGCGCCTGGCAAAAAATTTAAAAAAAATTTTGGGGGGTGTCAGTGTCCCTTTAATGTCTTACCTTTCAATTTAGTCCAACCAATAGAGTAAAAATAATGTGTGCATAGGGAAGCTCCGATGGCTTTAGAATAAACATAACTGTGGGCGCATGAAAGTTGGTGCACAATATTTTGAGTTTCACATAGCAACTACCGTATACCGTATTTACTGGCACAATAAACGCACTCGCGTGATGAACGCACCCCCCAAGTCTGCTCTCAAAATTTCGACTTTTTTTTTTCACTGGCGTAATAAACGCACCCCAACTCGGATGTCAAAATTTTGACCCCCTCCCCCCACGCGCGCGAAATGAATGCACTTTTCTATCCTGGTGCAGCGAGGTCGCGAATGCATGGGCAGCGGCGAACAAAACGCCTTGCAAAAGGCGTTAAAAAAAAATTCGAAAAGATCCAACAATAGCAAGAAAAAAAAAACATGTAGAGAAGCTTTTTTTTTTTTTTTTTTCTTTTTTTGCACGGCGCAGTTTGGACTTTGAGCGCTCTACCAACACCACCTACGCGAACGAAACAGCTTGCGAAAGGCAGCAAAAAGAAGAAAAAAAGAAAAAAAAAAAACACGGAACTAAGAAAAAACAAAAAGGAGCTTTTTTTTTTTTTTTTTTCCTTTTTTTTTTTGCCGCCGCGCGCATGGAGGTAGGAAAGAGGAGCGGAGAAGCCCTCTAAGCAAACGAAACAGCTTGCGAAAGACGGCAAAAAAGAAGAAAGAAGAATAAAAAAAAAAAAACAAAAAAAAACCTTACGGAACTGAGTACAAAAACAAAAAAAAAAGGATAAATTTTTTTTTTTTTTTTACACAGCGCAGTTTGGTTACGGGGGTCGTGCGTCGCGCGCAAGGGGATAAGAAAGATAAGAGGAGAGCCCTCGCCTAAGCAAACAAGACAGCTTGCGAAAGGCGGCAAAAAAAAAAGAAACTAAGAAAAAAAAAAAACAGGTTTTTTTTTTTTTTTTGCACAGCTTAGTTTGGTTACAGGGTCGGGCGCCGCGCGCAAAGAGATAGGAAGTTACTTCGATTTTTCAGGATAAAAGGTCCGTTCATGATGCGAGTAAATACGGACACAAAAATTTTACTTCGCGTAATGAACGCCCCCCCTAACTTTGCATCGATTTTTCGAAAAAAAAAAGTGCGTTCATTCTGCGAGTAAATACGGTAAATGCAAGCGAGAGCTGCACTTTTCTTTTTCGAATTCTGAGCTAGGTTAGTTTATCAGGTGTGACCCATACACGGAAAAAACAAAACAAAATGGCTATGGATGTGCATAAAAAGAATCGACACACAGTTGAACCTTGATTTAATGAAGTCACCAGGACTCGCTAATTATTGCGTTAAATCGGGAACTTTGTAAAATCAAGGAAGGGAGACCCTGTGCATGGGCTGTGCGGGGAATCCGAATTTGTTAGTTAAATCAGGAAATTCGTAAAACTGGGTTTCGTTAAATCGAGGTTCAACTGTACTTGTAATCAGACGCACTGGGCTAGAACATCTTTATATTATTATTTTAGCCTTCATTGTCGCAACCTGTTGCATCCTCAGCACCCGAGTCTGCCTTGTGGCTGCAGTCACCAGAGGTGCTCTTTTGAGCCATCCAGTAAGGGCAGTCTTGTGGTTCGCTCTAGCCATTTTTTTTTTGAGTAAGACCGATAGTATTTGACTTTGAGGACCTTTTTTCCACCGACATGGAGCGGCCACAGTGTACCATGAGCCCGACCCGGACTGCATGCTTTGTCTTATTCGTAACTAGCACCATACTTTTTGACACCCTATTCTTGACCCATCGCACAACTGTCACACTCCAGAGCATGAGTGATAGCTGAAAAGTACTTGCCCATTGCTCTCAGATTTCAGAGAGCGCATGAACCAACTTCGCAGAACGAAACTTTCACAAAGTTCGAAACTCTCCCAGCGTTCGGAAGTTTGTGTGCCCACTTTCGCAGCGGCTATTGTCACATGGGCAGGAGATAACTGAGGACAATGTGCAAATTATGAAAAGCACAGCCTTCCAAAGCTTTTGTCTTGTAACCCTAGCAATTCTTATCTGCATGACAAAGCACTGCAAAAAAAGCAGAGTGGAGTTGCGGACATGACGGAGATGCATAGAGGTACGAAGCGGAGTGTGTGCCAGACCGTGGAAGCAGTCGGCGTGCCTCAAAACCGGGGAGTGCGGCTAGCACACAAATAACTTTTTACAGCATTTTTTTTTTTTACATTTTGGTTTTAAATTGGGGGTGAGGACCTGAAAGAAGTGCAGCCCATACATGCAATCATACAGCAGATGCACACACTTCACGTTACCAACAACACTCTAGCGAGCTGGATTTCCGACACGGCTCAGGTGCTATGAAGCACCCAATCGGGAAGCAGCTTCATATTTAGTCAGGTTTGGTTGTTTGACATTCTGCTCTTCCATTCTTACCTGGAACCAGGAACCAGACTCCAAGAGCGAGCCCTGCTTGCCCAGGGTACCCGAGCTCTTTGACTCAGTGTCGCAGACGACCATCTTGAGAGGGGAGCTGAGCTCATATGCCTGCTGAATCACGCCTGCCTCTTGGAAAGTGCCTGCAGTGTTCCCCAAAAACCGCAGGCAAAACGACGATCAGTTAATAGATTCAGTTGAACTGAGAGCACATAACAAAGCCATGTTCTAGTGGGGCCCCAAAATAGTTAGAGGCCCTGAAGAGGCTACCGAGTGGTTTTGCATGCTCAATTTTGTAGCCGTAGCACGTAGTAGGCATCGCTGTCCAAGTTTGGATCCAAACAAAAGTGCTTGCATCCTCAGATAAATTAAACGGGCACTATACATACTGGTGGGGAGGTATGCAAGGTTGGAAACAAAGCAAGTATTGCATTTACCTCCCATAGTCATTCACACTGTTTAGCTAGGACATCACAGTAAAACTCAACTTTCTCTCTTACCGTCTTCGAACTGAAAGATAAGTTTCGGTTTCAGTAATTAACACTAGGCTTAAAGTGCCATATTTTGAAAGAAACATATTTTTGCAAGCTCTGGAAAGCATTAAGGGTGGGTGAATATTCGAAATTTCGAATATGAATCGAATATTATACATTTAATATTCATATTCAATTCGTAAACTAAGTCTTTGGTATTTCTCGAATATTCGTTGTAACACGAATATTTGAAAATAATAGAATATTCGAGAACGTATTTGCAAGCGTAAGTTTGGTTTCGGTTTCGGTAAGCAAGGCCCATTGACAGCGACATAGCTGAATGGCGGCTTCAACCTAAACTGGTGGCGTCTGTATCGGTAGCGGTAACCTGCGAGTTTCTGTTCCCTTGTGACTCCTGACTTTTTAAACTGTGCTCACTTTCGCGTTCGCCCACTCTTGTTATGGTGGAGGAAGGTGATTGCGGAGAACCGTCTGCGAAGCGAGGAACGAACGGGAAACGGCACCAAAACGAAGAGAGCAGGGCTATTTGGAAAGAGTATAGCTATACGCACTACGTAGAGCACTTCGGCCGGAAATGGCTATACGCACTAGGCGGAGAGTTCATGCCGTTTGGGTCACCCTTTTCAAGCGGCGCATGTATCACTGAGGAGCTTGTTAACACACCCCCCTGCCTGCGTTCACGCCGCTTCGCGGCGACAGTGTGCGGCTGCAAATTACAAAATTTTACCCGTTCACGCCGCTTCGCGGCGTCCAGCCGGCAACCCAAGCCTCGCTGTCCCTGATCGCATCTCCGAAACAGGAGTCCCGTACCATTTAGTTCTGCGAAGTTTCGTCAACAACATTCGTCTTTTTTTCAGTGTTTATTGTAAAAAAGAAATGTCGGAAATATCGCCAAATGCCTCGACAAAACAAAATGTTCGAGAAAAAAAATGAAAGCCGTTTACAAATCCCTCTAACGCCGAATTAGAGTGCAGCTCTTGAGGAGGAGCAGGGAAGGGTACTGAGGGGGGTCACGTCACCTGCGAATAGTCACGTGACCCCGGGGGGGTCACGTGACCTCGGGGGATCACGTGACTTCGGGGGGGGGGGGGGGGGGGTCACGTGACCCCCCCCCGTTACGCTGACGCCGCTCGGGCTGGAAACGGGCCCCGAAGAGCTGCGCTCTAAAAGAAACAAAGTAGGCCTGCCCATCGCGGATCGAACCTGCGTCCACTTGCGTATGAAACAGACACCTTATCACTATGCTATGCCACCGCTTAGAAAACTCTTTGTAACCATTCGTTTTATATGAGTTTTGCATAGTGCATATAGCCATTTCCATCCAAAGTGCACTACGGAGTGCGTATAGCTTTACTCATTTGGAAATATTTTGCGAGGGTAACGGCATCGTTGGCGAGTCAACGCTTAAAACGCCCACAGGTACGACAACGCCCCTTGTCAACCATCCAAGTACATCCTGCGTTGTTGAAAGAATATCGTGGGATTACCGCTGGTACGCCAGGAAAAGATCAACCGACGCTGACGGACTTCGTGCGCCGTACAGAGCCCCTGCCAGAAAAGTGGGTACGAGCGCTAAATAACAAGGTGGTTGCCATCGTGGCATTTGATTTACAGCCTTACAGCATGCTGGAAGATCGCGGTTTCAAAGAACTTCTGACAGAAGCCGTTCCCAACTACCTCCTACCTCTACATTCTCACGCGTGCTTGTGCCACAGATCTATAACGACACCCAAAAGAATATAAAAGCAGAGCTCAGCAGTACCTTTGAAGGCGGCACTACCGCTGTTGCCTTTACAAGCGACATGTGGACATTGTGTGGACTTTACCTGCCATCTTCTCACTCCAAAATTCATGATGAAGCGGTTCACATTGAATACGCGACACATGGCTGCCAGTTACAGTGCTGTGAACATCACAACTATTCTGCACAAAATGTGCCGTGACTGGGAGATACCCAATGAATGCGCGAAGTTCATTGTAACGAATAAAGGGTGCAAGATCCGTGCTGCGGTCAGGAGACTTCCGTAGACTGAAAGAGCGTGCTTCGGGCATACCCTTCAACTGGCAATTAATGACGCAAGATCCCGTTCGCTGGCAATTGATTGCCTGTGCAAGAAAGTGAGGCATATTGTGGGACATTACAAGCACAGTTTATCAGCTCAGAAAAGTCTTGAGGAGTGCCAGCGAAGATAGGAAAGGACGCACTACGTCTGGTGCAAGACGTGGAGACGGGATGGAATAGCTGGACTTGGTTCATCAGAGTGGAAATATGCTTCTGAATACTGTGCAAGCATTGAAGGCATTGTTTGATGCCACTGTTATTGCCAGTGCTGAGAAGTATCCACCTTTGTCTTCCCAAGTTCCTATGATTTTTGGTATGCTCCACTGTCTAGGTAACTGTGCTGAGGCATCAAAATTTCCTGCAGAACCGAGAAGAACCATCAATTTATTATGCCTTTGATAGGTTGTCGGACCGCTTTAGTTAAAAACAAATTGAGGAAATATCTCATCGGAGAAGCTGAGCAAAAGAAAGGACCAGGAAGATAAGTGCACAATGGCACAAACACTATTTTGCTAAATCGAGAAGGACATACATTGTTTTCAATGGAAGTAGTACACAAACACGAGAGACGATAGTTATATTCTGAACTTTCATTAGGTCGAGGTTAGTTATACTGACGTTTATCGAAAACTCTTAGGGAAGTGCATGCAGGCATTGGGTTCGAGTTTTCCTCGCCCCTTGTAGAACATTATCCCCAACGCAGGCAGTGATCAGACAGGCGGATAAGGTCGAATAGCATGTCCATTGATGGGCCAGAGGAAGGCACTCACCCTTGTGTGGCATGAAGGCATAGCTGAACTGGTGCGTCCCCATGTCGGCCTCGGGGTCCGGGCTCTTGGGGGACCGGAGCAGGGACAGCCGGAGCACTTTGCCGTGCACCGCATGGCCATACTTGCAGGTGTTAAGCAGGGACACCCCGTAACCATGTTCCGCAAGGTCCACCCACCGGTGCCCATACACCTGCATCACCCACCACGTGTCACATTACACTTTAGCTTTCACCACTAGAATAAACCCTTTTCAAAAGTCAGAGCAATCTAGTGGCAGTCTTAAAGGTTCCAATAGCACCGTTCCAACGGCAGTGACAAGAAGACAAGTTTGCCAAAACCAAGTGCCCTCCACCTTGTGAATTGAAGGCAATGTAAAAGGATAAACTTCTAAGTAAAAGTAAAAGGATAAACTTCTTCCCCACTCTCTGCTTTTGTGCTTTCAGGGACATTCACTTTTCAGCCACAATTAGAGTGCTGGGATTGGCTCTTGCCAGAGTGAATACACCAAATTTTGAAAAGGGCTGACTGGAATACGCTGACCAGGTGCCAGAACCGGCAAGTTATTACTTGCTGTTGAGCTGTGGCCCAACCATCGAGCCGGTGTCAAAACAGATTGGTTGTGAACAGTCTTCTGGAACAGGGTTGTATGCACCTATAAACGTCTTAGCCCACATCCAAACTACTTAGAAAGAAGTTCAGAAAGAGGACCGACTCGAATTCCTTAACTCCATAATGTTTTCAGTGCTACCGAAACTTCAGATCTTTTTCATTTCATTTTATAGTTTATGAATTTGTGAGCATGAGCTACAGTGAAACATACTTATAATGAGTGCTGCGGGACCGGTGAAACAATTAATTGTAAGAGTAAGTTTGAAGTACAAGCTGAGCCCGAAATATTTAACATGAGAAACAATGCAAGCTGTTGCTTAGTCGCACAACTGTTTAATGGAAGGGCAGTTTTGGAAAACGGGACAGTGACAAATCTAAAATGCATGAGAGAAACAAGGGAAGTCGGTGCAGCAGGACCTCAGCGCTACGCTGCCAGTTGGTAGATTATAATAATACGACAACTTATTTTAAGCGAACATCCTCACGGTGGCTCACATATGACCGTTAGTCTCTCATTTGTCCTAATCCGTCGTCCTGGACTCACTCAGTCTCTCTCCTCGTCTACTTGCTCCCTTCTCTCCCACGAGCTCCAGGCCCATTTCTTGGCTCTGGCAAAAAGTACCAAATATTCTCGCATATAACCTGCATCAAAATTTATACCGAAATAAAGGGCGAAGTAGGGGCGTGGGTTATACGCGAATTACAGTGGGCCAAGGCTTTTAGAAAAATCTAATCTTAGCATTGCTGAGATAAGATTTTTTGAGAACTTTTGCGAATGGGTGATAAAGCGTGTATCCCCCGGCTAAGCGCATGCGTGGATGTGATGAAGGTGACTAGTATATATTTCTTTCTTTTCTGAAATTTTCAAATATAGTTGTGAGTGGCATGGCACCTATCTGTGTGTCTTCTTCCTTGTGTCCGCTGTTTTTTGCACCTTACATCATGCTTCATAACATTCACCAACTAGCCCAACTACGAGTTCTTCTCCTTACCGTAAAATCCTGAAAGGGCGCCCACCCTTTTGCCAGAGATAATTGTAGCAAAAAGTGGGGTGGGCCATGTTTTGATATTGAACTCCAAAAACCACGAAAAATACGAGAAACGGCAGATTTTTGTGCGCCTTTATTATCGCTAATCCTCATCCCTAAATCCGTTGAAGGAAACATCACTGCTGCTGTCAAAAATTAAGTCCACTCTCGTGTTCCCCGGGTCCTGCCTCTGCCGCATTGTCCACCAACGCCAAACGGCCATTGAATTCGCCGTCCTGTATTCCATTGAGGCTCGTTAAGACGCCGCACCTCTTGAAGGACCACCGCACTGTGTCCTCAAAGAGGGAGGCTCACGCCTCCGCCACAAAGTCTACGACGTTCTGCCTAAACAGCCTCTTTGGATTTCCCTTGGAAGAACACGACCCAACGCTAGCGCAACGCATCCTTGAACGGTTTTATCCACCACAAGTCGGCAGGTTGCAGTATTGATGTACAGCCGCCTGGTATCAGGGCTATGCCCGTGTTCCTGGTGTAGAGAGCTTCTTGGGCAGCCTCAGTTTTATGAATTAGTGCCTGGTCCAGCACAAGGAGCCTTCTCACGTCGTCGACATTCGGTCCCCCGACCCTGCGTATCCACCCTTGGAAGACGAGAATGATGATGTGACCCGCACATTCCCTGAAAAGAATACCAGTACAAAATTGACAACTTCGAACTGATAGACTTACGAAACCACAAGCCGTAAGAAAGCACGAAGGCAACAGGCTTCAAACATGACCAATGGATAAATGTGGCCTACCCACTGGGCGTACCTAACCGCCTGACCATAGAAAGTGGGCAGTGGCTGTGCCATCTTTTGCGACCACTTCAAAGCAAGACGAAATTGGTGTGGCTCTAGAGCAAATAAAAACACCATAATCACTTCTTTCTTTTTTTTCAGGTTTGAAGGGGCGGTTCAGGGCCCGCTCACCACACTCTTGCGACCTCTTAAAACTGTTTCCTTAACACCTCTTACAACAAGAGGACACACTGGCGCCATCTATTGGGTAAAAGTGTAAACTTGGCGGTCCAGCATATTTTCTATTTTTCTCATGCATTATCCTTTCTTTCTTTGCTTGAAAAACTGTTGTCAACGTTATAAATGAGCCTTTGTTATAAGTATTACGCACATTTGACCTCGGAAATCCCGCAAAACTTTCGCTCTTGTGAAATGCAGTTCCAGGGGCGCCAGAGTGCGTCTGTTCTCTCGTTTTAAGAAGTTTTAAGAGGCTCGTCTCTCTCGGTTGTGCTCGGTTGCAAGAGTGTAAATGGACCTTTACAGTGGGCGGTTTTATAGCTTTTGTTTCTGTCTTGCGTAGTCCTAAGTATGTAGCTACCTATATCTACGGCAGAGGAAGTTTAAAAACAACATACCTGTAATCTTGAGTAATAGTGCCCTCGGGGGTATTCGGCCTTCAATGCTGAAAGCTTGATTCCCACTGTTGTTGCACACAAAGCCAAGTCATTCCCCGCCGGACACAGCTGGTGTTGGTGATTCAAATAGTTGAGTCGCCGGTAGCGTTTTTCGTTCTTGGTGCTGGACAGTCCATTCACACCATAGTCTGGTCCATATTAGCAATGTTGTAATCCGTATAATCATGCTCCCGGTGAAGAGTGGAAACTGCCGTTTTGAAGACTGCAATCGCTTCAGCGCAGTCAGCAGGCGGCTTTTGACTTTCGTTTGTCCCAACCCACATGGATACACTGTAGTGCTTTTTCCAGCGAGCAATATACTGGCATGATGCTTAAAAGTTGCCCAGATCCATCTATTTGCCGCTAGCTGTCGCACGTGCTCTTGGAGAAACCGGTTGCTGACGGCTCGACCAGCTGATCTCTTAGTTTTCAGGAAGTCCATCAAAGCGTCTCCAATTTCTTCACTGAAAACAGGTCGCCCAGTACCCATCATTCTCTTTAGCTTGGTCTTTCCATAGCACTGCTGCGCGAGCACTTGGTATTTCATATTCCATTCCCGTACACGCTTTCTGTCAACCTCGAAAAGGCATGCAGTCTTGCTCACGTTGATTTTGTTCTTGCTGTCACACTCCACAATTTCCATCTTCTAGATGGTGAAGCTGGACCTCATCCTGGGACCGCAGGAGAAACGTCTTCACAGTTCACTGGCAGATCGAAGAATGAGATGGCCAGGTCAGTCCGACCTAGTTTTCCTTTACAGTTATCAATTCGGACGATCGGATGCGGGGCAACGAAAGAGTAACTTTAAACCTTTGTCAGGTTTTGCTCCCTACCACTCTAGTCCTCTAAAATGTAAGCTCTTCCCTTCGTAAACAAAACAGGGGCTTTCAAAGAAAAAAAAAACTTTCAACCTTTCCACTCTGGTAAAGAAGGAAGACCAGCGAAGCTGTACTATGGTCAGACAAGCTCAGAACGACCTCAAGGACGCCGCCTAAGGACGACATCTAGGATGACCTAAAGGACGATGTCTAAGGACGACCTCAAGAACGACTTCTATTGACGACCTCGAGGACGATGCCTACAGGACGACCTCAGGGATGACATCTAGACGACCTCAAAGACGACACCTAAAACGAACTCAGGGACGACGTCTAGGTCGACCTCAAGGACGATTTCAAAGACGTCTTGGACGACCTTAATGACAAATTTTGGGACGACCTCAAAGACGATCTCAAGAATGACTTCCAAGACGACCTCAAGGACGACCTCAAGGACAACCTCCCGGACAACCTCTCAACCTCAAAGACGACCTCAAGGACGACACTTAGGATGACCTCAAGGAAGACTTCCAAGATGACCTCAAGGACGGCATCTAGGACGACGCCCAGAGAAATTCAGCCTTTCCACTCTGGTTAAAACTCAAGTGAAAAGGCTGGAAAGGTTGTCGCCATTTATGAGCAAGGCCGGCAAGCCGATTGTCTGGTTGCCGCCGTCGCTCATAGATGGCGGTAGCTGTCCAGAGTTTTGTGTCGACATTTCTTTGCGGGGGACACGCTCCTGGGAAAACTAGCCCTTAACAGCTCCGCTGTAAAATATCCTGATGCTGTGCTTTTCTTTAAATATTGAAACAAAAGAAGGAAGACCAGAGGAGCTGTACTCGATACACTGTGTGCTTTTTCTTCGTCGTCGTCTGTTTTTCGCGCTGTTTCCTAGGATGAATTCCCACCAATGCGCCCAACTATCTATTCTTCTATTATAGCTGGAAAGGTTGCCGCCATCTACGAGCGACGGCGGAAACCATACTGGTTGTGTGCAATTGCCATCATCGCTTATACAGTTGAACCTCGATGTAACGAAGTCGGTAAAATTCGCAATTTACTTCGTTACATTGAAATTTCGCTAAATCGAAATTTGGCTTTAGCATGCGAAAAAAAATTCCGAAACATTTTACGGGTATGAAAACTCACCGAAAATGACATTTATTTAGGGGCGAAGTAGTCCGCGAGTTTTGCTTGCGCCTTGTCCGACAGTAGCAGCGGCGTCATACGGCGTTCGAGCGCCCAGAGCGCTTGCACGGCATCCTGCTGCCCATGCGACGCCGTGTACCTCCTCAGTACGTCCATTGCGTCGAGCACTTCCCGA